ATGGGAAGACTGCAGCAGGCGCGGTGACGGAGCAGAGCCACCAAGGCTGCCATCTGTGCCCACATCGCACCGGAGCGAGGGTGAGCCCGTAAGGTGTCGTTTGTGAAGAATATCACCACATTCAGTGAGATTCTGAAGACTTCGAGGGATGCATACCGGGCAGGCTAATTGGCCCTGAAGCAGACAGGCAATAACGGAAACCCACCAGAATGTTTATGAAACCACTGGGCGTGGGGAGCAGGAGCCCAGGGCTCTGGAGGGGGCGGGAGCCGGGTAAGCCACAGGTAAGGCTGGAAATGGGATCTGGCTCAGGGGCCCCCTGCGAATGAGGCTCAGCAAGGCAGCACCTCAGAGTACACCCCACTCTGGGCTCCACCGCTCCATCCTCCACTTCCATGCGATCAAATCTTCTAGCTTCCACTAATGACTAAACCACACAGTACAAGGGACTTCCGAAAAGTTCCTAGAAAATGTGACGAATGAAAAGACTATGCACGGATTTCAATTCTTTGGATTTCAATTCTTTGGGGGCACCAAAATAAACTCATAGTTCAATGACATTCCCCCTCATATTTGTCTTTCAGTACCTGTCTGATTTCATTCAGCATTATTTCCTGATGTGATCGCTACACAAGGTATACATGTATAGAGAAACAGAATACATTTACTGTAACCTGTAAATGAACAATTATTATATGTAAATTAGAAATTATAATAACAACATTTTGTCTTAGACTTTTTGCTCTAGGGTGCGTGTGCTCACTGGAGAGACAGTGAGAGACAGAGAGACAGAAAGTGAGAAATCACTCCCAGGGGGGTGGCCACATCACAATCCTTTCTCCTCCATTCTCAGGATTTTAGGCACACATGCCAATGCTCCCAGTGTGAGTTTGAAGCCGCCAGGTCCAGGATTCAAACCGTAGTCGGCCATGTGGGAGTCCAGCGACATAACCAGTATGCCATTTGCTAATAACAAACATTTTAAATGCACCTCAAAGGGGACTGCCCTGGTGGGCTGGGGTATTCCCTGAGCTCCCCTAGGGCATGGAGACCCAGGAAGACTCAGCAACAAGGGCACCCAGGCACAGGGAGGAAGGGAGGCTTTCCTGCAGCCTGGGCTCTATAATTCAAGCCTCCTGTTGACCAGGAATCATCAACTCGGAGGTCATCTGTCAAGTGCTCCTGGATACAGAGCTGGCCTAAGCTTTTGTCAGCCAATTCCACTTGCTGGCCTATGCAAATGTGGCTCTCAATGAAAGCGGCGCTTGTTTTCTGGACTCCAGAGGGAACCATTCAAGTGGGATCAAGGAGGGAACTCTTCCCGCCTTCATGAACAGCATGGCTCCAGGGGGCTGGCAATTGAGAATCAACGCTTATTGTCAAAATCTCAAGGAAGGGAAATTAACTTCAGGCGACTTGTGTTTTCCCAGCTGCCCTCTCGTTAACAGCCCTTGCGTGTAACCTGCCTCTCTATTTATACACGAGGCACAAGGCTAAGAAAGGACGCTCTGAGTAGGGGGAAAACCTGAATAAATAAACCGACCAACCGACCAACCATTCTTTTGATGTCGATCAAGTCTTAACCCTATTGAGAAATAATGATCAAACATAGGCAAGCACCTCATATCCTTTGCTCTCTGAAAGACTATTGGAGAGCCAGGTGGTGGTGCAGTGGGAACCCAACTGGACCCACATGGGGAAGATCCTGGGCTCTTGGCCCGAGGCTCCCTGAACACAAGGCACGTGGTATGTCCTAGATTCCAGCTGCCTGAGATCGGGGGTGGACTGTGGTGTGAGGAGCCTGTTGGGGGTACCTGTCTCTGTCTCTCTCTCAGATGGAGGAAATAAATAAGCAACAACAATAAAAAGACTATTTTACTAAAGGATATGAGACATAATGAAAGGGGCCAGCAGATGGTGTGGTGGTTAAGGCACTGGACTCCCATATGGCTGACGGGTTCGAGTCTTGGACCAGGCGACTTGCTTTCTAACCCCCGCCCCCCACGAGTCAAATTAAGAACATAATAAAATAATAATAACAAAGTTAAGTAAAATAATTCTTTTTTTCTTTTTTTTAAGAGAGATTTTTTGCTATAGGGCCATGTCACAATCTCTTCTCCTCCATTCTCCTCTCGGGATTCTGGCCACACACACACATGCACCTGGCATGAGTTTTAAGCTGCCAGGGACCAGGACTCAAACTATGGTCAACTATGTGGGAGTCCAGTGATGTAACTATTAAACCATCTGTTGGTCCCAATAAAATAACTCTTAAAAAAAGACATCATAAAAGATATGTAAGGAGAGGTCATCAATGGCTTTCAACCCCAGAAGCTGGGGGTCCTGTGATGGCCTGCATGCTCACATGACCTGGTGCACTCTTTCTCTCTGACCTCTGATGTCAGGCTCCTTCCCCAGCTCCCTCTGCTCCAGCCACAATGGCAGCTTCTTTTCTATTTCTTAACCATGACTTAAACAAAGGCTTCAGGGCCTTTGCACTTGCTGTGACCTCTCCCAGAATGCTCTTCTTCCAGCTGTGCACATAGACATTTCCTCGCTTATTTCAGTTTTAACTTTAATTTGCGAGTCCCTCCCTAGCCATCCTAATTAAAACTTCAACCTCCCCAAATAAAACAAACCAAACTGAAATAAAATTTCAGCCCCTCCCCAACACTATATCTTCTTTTACTGCTTTATTACTTTTCTTCTTAGTTTATTGCTGATAAGTTAAACATCTCCCTTATGTAGCTTGTCTATGGTCTCTCCTCGTAAGGGTTTTTTGTCTCTTCTGTTCTGCTGTATTATGGTGCACACATGCTTGCTTACTGAGGCTCTCAGCTATGGAGAGTTAAACTCCTTGACACTAATACTTACATGCTGGGAATTACGAAGAGCTGCTTAACAGGATCATTCTTGGGGGTAAGGGCAGGGATCTGCTAGATGCTTATTGGACCTTCTCTCCCTTGCTGGGCTCTCACATATGCCCTATACTTCTGCTATGGTTTGTCTCCCAAAGGTTCATGTTTTGGAATCCAGTCCAGTGTAATGGCATCGAGAGGTAGTGAGGCCTAGTGAGTGGTGATGGGATCATAGAGATATTATCCGGGGAATGGATTAATGCTGTCTTGGGAGGTCCAGGAACCCTAGATCTCTTGAGAAGGGGTTGGTCTTTGGGAGAGCGGTTGCTCTAAAGGGAAGATGCTGCCCGTTTTTCTCTCTCTGCATGTGCCCACTATCCTCTCTGCTTTTTATGGCCATGTTGTGACATAGGCCAGCCAGATGCCAGGCTCCAACCTTTGGACTTCCCAGCCTCCAGAATCGTGAGTCAATAAACATCTACTTTTACGAGGCTCAGGTATTTCTGTCAGCAGCACGTTAGTGGACCAAGACTCCCCACCTCTCTTTGTGTCTAAGTGACAGACGCCTCTAAGGCCTGGCCCATAAGTAATTCCATGCGACAATTGTACTGCCTCCTCATCAGCCGGCTGAAAGGAGGAGGACTCAGCAGAGGAATCTGAGGCCCTAATAGATGTGGAGCCGATGGACAGATGAAACCCAGGTCCTTGAATGACCCTGTGGGTCAGTGCCCCATCTCGACACAGGAATGCAAAATAAACCTGTGTGGTGTGTTAAGCCACTGAGACTGCGGGGTGGTTTGTGCCAACAGTTAGTGTGACTTACCTGATGACATTAAGGCCGTTATATTGGAAAGTGTCACATTAGGCACTAATGTGTGTGGTTATCTGATACGTGTCATGTCCTAAGAGAAATGTAATTTGCCCTTTCTTCACTGGAAGTTCAGCCTCACTGACTTTGGTGAAATTTCAATGAATTTTCACCAAGGGTGAGATAGAAAGAGATGGGGAAAAGCTATGAAAATATTTCAGTGCAGAAAACACTGACAGTTTTCTCCCTTAAATGATAATACCAATTACACACATGGGCAGCAGCGAGGGTAATCTCTGTGGACGGACTAGCACAGCCCAGCTCCTCTGAAGACACGCAGAAGCCGTCACTGTCATCCACAGGCAGGAGAGCTTTGTACATAATGTGAAAGTCGCATTGTCAACGTTCCAGGCTGGAGCTTTCAACGTGGGGGTTTTACAAATAGGACATAATGTCTGTGTATACGGAACGCAGCTCACTCTCAAGGGAGAACGCCTCCCTCTTTCACCAGGGTCAGCCCAGCACCAACCACACGACCCTGTCAGGTGTCGCCATCACTGCCCAAACACAGCTGAAGAGTTCACATGACCCAGTAATAAACAAACATGGAAATGCAGTGAAACATTACCTGCCCGGCTAGCATCTCATACAACAGGACGCCATAGGCCCACCAGTCCACAGATTTTCCATACGGCTGATAAGCGATTATCTGTGTGAAAAGAAACACATCAATTACACTTAATGATAAACCGAATGGCCCCTTTAGAACAAGTGGGCATTAGTACGCTTGATTCAAGCAAATGAGGTGATGAGACGGTCTGCCTGTCATTTCTACGCCAGAGGAAAAGGGTCCTTCAAATCAGGCACATGGAGAACTATCCACTAGTCTGGGGAGTCCACTTCTGAACCCTGGAGATGCCAGAGCACACTACTTGAAGGCAGATTTAATCAGCCTCACTGGTAGAAAATCCTTGGCCAATGAAGTGGGTTTAAAGTGGGTTTAATTTTTAGAAAAAGCCAGAGGTTATTCAGAACAAGGATCTGATACATAAGATGATCAAATCGCGTAGCAGAGTTTTGCTAAAAGCAGTAAGGATGCTGAGGATTGTGACGACAACAACGGTCAAGGGAACGAGAACAGGCGGTGCGTGAGACATGCTCAGTCTGTTGAACGGCTAAAGCTGTAAAATGTGAGAGAGACTTGACCTATGGTGATCCAATGGGCCATCTGGACTTTGAATCTTCAAAGAAATTTCTTCAAAAAAGAAATCTGGAGACCACTGGGGCGAGTCAGACACGGTCTAGATATGAGATGAGATGAATTGACTATTGATTCTGGGAGCTGGCACTGGGCTATGCTGACCAGTTTGAGTGTGTCCTTTTCCATGTAAGATGGATGTGTTTGGGACCAGCGGTTAGCATAATGGCTATGTCGCTGGACTCCCACATAGTCGACCGCGGTTCGTGTCCCGGACCCGGTGGCTTAAAACTCACGCGGGGCGCGTGTGCGTGCGTGCCCAAGATCCCAAGAGGAGAATGGAGGAGAAGGGATTGTGGCATGACCATCCTCCCTGGGGGGTGGTTTCTCGCTTTCTGTCTCTCTGTCTCTCTCTGTCTGTCTGGCGAGCGCACGTGCCCTATGGCGAAAACTTCTCCAAAAAAAAAGAAAAAAAAAAGATGGATGTGTTTATGGGTGCGATGCATGAGAGATGAAGTATTTATGGGTGAAATGACATGATATTTTAAATGAGAAGGAACCCTTTCAGTAAAAGTGGTGATGGGAAGAACAGAGCAAACAAGCCGAGATGTAGGCAGCTGTTGGTGCTGCAAGGTGGCCACTAGTGAGGGCATTCCACTCTTCTTTCCCTTGGTGGCCAGTCAGAGGTTCTAGAATGACCCTCTAGCCTCCCATGTGGAAAGGAGGAATACTGATTTGAATTTCTAAGCATGGCCTGGCTTACTAAGAGGCTGGCTGTATGGCCTCTCAGGTGGACTGTCTCCCTAATGTACAAGATTTCCAGACCCACAGATTATGTCCCAGGATTTGAGGAGACATCCTTGCAGGTGCTCAGTACAACCATTCTGCCACTTACACATGACTTTGACTCTTAAATGCACAAGAGCATTTGTTTTAATGGTGCAGAATGTCTAATGGAATGTCCTGGACATAAGAAACCGTTCTGTCTGCTCACCTCCATTCCTTTTCACATTGCCACTGTTTCTCCACAGAAAATGGCAATGTGTGGGCAGCAACAGGGTGGACACGCTTGGACTCAGCAGCCTCATAGCTCATTCTCGACAAGAAAATGACCGCCAGACAAGGAGTCCTAATTTTAATTTTCACTACATTTGTCCTTTTCTACATTTTCTTTGCTGAAAACTTGGAAAATACAAACAAAGAACTATACCCAGAGATAATATATGTCATTTCAGTCCAGACAGGAAATTACTGTCTTAAAGAAGTTGTATATTTTTATAATCTTGATACAATGGCAAACTGCCTTCCCAAAAGAGTTGGGGGTGAATGTATACCCCTACCTCATGTTAGCTTCATCATATTTTCGATCACTAGGTGAAACCGTTCTTCTAAAAAATAATGCTTTTTGGGACCAGGAGATGGTGTGGTGGTTAGGGCACTGGACACTCCCACATGGCCGACTGTGGATCAAGTCCCGGACCCGGTGGCTTTCCTTCTTAGTTTCCCTCTCTCTCTCTCTCTCTGTGTCTCTCTCTGGTCAAATTAAAATGGATGAATGAATAAATAAATAATTTAAAAAATAATAATTTTTTTTCTTTTTAGTTCCACAAGCCACATACGCTCATGAAAGAAAAATTAGAAGAGATTAACTAGCTAAACAGGTTTAAAAAAGTAAAATTGTTTATAATCTCTTCACCTAGAAATGCTGCTGTTCATTTTATAGGACACCTTCCCATCCCTTTCCTAGCTGTGGTGTGTGTGCATCCACACTTTTCAATGTGATTGTATCCATCTGCTGTCTGTAGCCAGTTTATTTCATAAGATCATGAGCATCTCTGCAAATTCTTCATTTCCACAGGACAAATGCCTGAAAGAATTGTTGAGTCCAAATAAATGCTTTTGAATAGAAAGTAAAAGCGTTTTAGATATGCTGCCGGACGACTCCCATCAGCAGTAGAGCCACTGTCTCTCCCAACCCTCCCCAACACTGGGTATTGTCACTGCTTCTTTCTTGCCTTCTTTCTTCCTTCCTTCCTCCCTGCCTTCCTTTTCTCTTTATGGCACGTGCACTCGCTGGAGAGACAGAGACAGTAAGAGGGAAAGTAAGAAATGCACCCTCCACGCCCCCAGTAGGGAAGGCCACGCTGCAATCCCTTCTCCATTTTCCTTTTGAGATTTGGGCATGCACTCGCACACATGCAGCGGGTGTGACTTTCAAGGTACCAGGTACAGGGCTTGAACTGCAATTGGCCATGTAGGAGTCCAGTGCCTTAACCACTATACCACCTGCTGGCCCCTGTCACTGTTTCTAAAACTTTCTGTGGGATGGCTGACAGTGAGGTTTCAGTGGAACTTTCATTTGTATTTTGTTTACTTCGCTTTTTCTCATAGAAATTGGCCCCTTAGTAAACTGCCTTATTATGTACTCTGCCCGATTTCAGTCCTGACTGACTGCTTCATTTATAATTCCCTCGGGGACCTATGTCAGGTACCAGGGATACAATGTAGGAAAAGACAGACAAGGTCCCTTCCCTTACCAAGATTACACACTTCTTTTTTATTATCAATAAAAATAATGAGAGCTCTTTATATCTTAAGGATGTCAACTCTCTGTTGCAAATTTTGGAAGTAGTTTTCCCAATTCATCATTTACTTGTGTTTTGTTTATATTTTAATGTTCAGGATAGTCCTTTTATTTGAAAAATCTAATAAACTTTGCAGTAATTTCTTTTCCTAAATGATAACAATAATATTTTAAATATATATAATATAATATTTTTGAATAGTTCTTGTATAGTTTTAGTTTTTACATTTAGCCTTTTATTCTGCCTAAAAATTTTAAAGTATGACATAGAATTTAAAATTCCCTCCCAAATGCTTACCTTTTATCCCAGTATAATTCAAAGACTAATATTCTTTCTTTTTTAAAAAAATATTTTATTTAACTTAATTTATTAATTTATTGTTTGATATGACCAGAGAAGGACAGAGTGAGAGAGTAAGTAAGAGAGAGAGAGAGAGAGAGAGAAAGAGAAAGCAAGAAAGCAAGCTGCCAGGCCCAGGACTCGAACCACAGTTGGCCATGTGGGAGTCCAGCACCCCTAACCACCACATCACCTGCCAGCCTATGAACTCATCCTTTCTTAACTTGTTTAAAAAATCACTTTGATGGGACCAGCAGTTAGCATAATGGCTATGTTGCTGGACTCCCATGTAGCTGACTGTGCTTTGAGTCCTGGACCCAGTGGCTTAAACTCACGCCAGGTGCATGTGCATGCGTGCCCAAGATCCCGAGAGGAGAATGGAGGAGAAGGGATTGTGGTGTGGCCATCCCCCCGGGGGGTGATTTCTCGCTTTCTGTCTCTGTTTCTGTCTTTCTGGCGAGCACATGCGCCCTGTAGCAAAAAAACAAAAACAAAAACAAAGCACACTATTAATAGATTCAAGAGTTTCTGGCACTAGAATAAGCATGTAATTAGAATTTCATTTCCTGATGAACTTTACGCAGCCCCTGTGTGGGGCACAGGAGGCGGCTGGTTGTGGCAGGCTGGGCGCTGGCCTGAGCTGGCCTGACTGCCTGCTGATCTAGGTGGGCCCAACTGCAGTCATCCAGTAATCCTGCTTGTCTTGCTGTTTGTTTACGCAGTGAGAAGACACCAGGGTACCACGACACCACACCACACCGGCACAGGGCGACTATCACATTTCCCAATGGCCTGGATAAAAAGTTTTTTTTTTTTTTCTTTTAAGAGAGATTTTTGCCATAGGGTGTGTACGCTTGTCTGAGAGACAGAGAGAGGGAAAGTAAGAAATCACCCCCTGGGAGGATGGCTACACCACAATCCCTTCTCCTCCATTCTCCTCTCGGGACTTTGGGCACGTGTACACATGTGCCTGGCACCTAGGTCTGGGATTCGAACCACAGTCATCTATGTGTGTCCAGTGATGTAACCATTACGCCATCAGCAAATGGTCCCTGTAAAACTTTTTAAAGGTAGTAAGTATAAAGACAAGCATTTAAACAAAGGCTTGCCTAAATGAAAACATTCTACGTTGATGCGTTCTATCACTACCTCATACAGGAGACCCTGCCACAGGATGAGTTTAGTAACTGTGTGTTTAATGAACAAATAATGGATGGATGGACAAATGGACTCCCACATCCTTGAACTTGCTCCTTGTCTCTGGGCTGTTTCTCTAGTAGCATTTTCTGTGTCCATACCTAATAGCAGCAGTGGTGCCAGGCAGAGTGGAGCTATAACGTGCTCCCAAGAATGGAAGCATTCCGCCCAGGGGAGACCTCATTATCCAGAAAGAACAAGGGTAACTCAATGTAAAAGACTCTATTTGACCAAATGATAAATTATTCCTTAATTTTAGTGGGAATCTGCTATTAGTTGAATTGTAAATAACATTTAAAAATGATCACTATAGGGGCCAGCAGGTGATGTGGGGCCTAAGGCAGCTGGATTCCACATGTCTGACTGTGGTTTGAGTCCCAGTCCTGGTGG